GGATCAGTTTTCTTCATGCCTCAGAGAAGTGGTATCTAAATCGTTTTAAACTGAAACAGGGACAGAATAAGCTGTGCAAATCATTTTCTAGTAGAACCTTAATTACATCCTGCAGTGTCTCGTCCTCAGCAAACCACTAGCAATAAAAGTCTGCATTTCATTTGAGAACCGACAGGGCTGGGTTTTTCTGTTTTGTTTTCCCCAATTGACATATACATAATCTAGGCTGGGACTTTGTTCCACAGCATTTTTGTCAAAGGCACTAGAGAGTATGCCTACAACTACTAAATCTTTCTCAGGTTCGCATTCAATTTGCAAGTTACACAACTGTAGCTAAAGAAAGAGATGTTCTGTTTGCAGGAAGGTGTTTGCCAGATCCCCACCGGCAATGGCAAAAAGTGATTTATGATCAGTTTTAGTTAATGTGGCCTCTCAAACAGATTTTAAAAAGTCTTTACAGCCGTGGCCTAACACCAAAGCCTTTTCTATAGGCATATACTCAATTTTAGCTTGTGTTGATGTCCCGTGACGCAATTGCAAAGGCAAATGGGTACAAATATTAAATGCATCCTCTTGATGATGCAAAGGGCCTGATACTTTCTGAATCTACCAGGTGCCCCCATGCTCCACCATTACAAATCTGTGCCTTTTCCAGTCTGTTGTTTGTGCAGGGGTGTCGATGACTGTCAATCCCTCAGTTCATTCTTCTGTACAAAGTAAGAATCCTACATTTTCTGAACTCTTCCAAGAAAGGTGGATTTGTCTGTTCCCTTTTGGGTACAAATAAAAAGTCTTAAATAATAGTCCTGGCCCCCTGTTTATACATGCACTTACACATACAGTTCACACTAAACAGGTGTCCTTCTTCCCTTTTGGGGCTGCTACACTCCGTTACCATTATGAAAAAATCTTTATAATGCCATCATCACTGCTGTGAGCACAGGCATCCCCTGGCACATACAAATTTCTCCAGGGATGAAACCACTGCAGTTCTTGGATCTGCTCTCAGGCACCAGATGTAGTTGGCTTGTGTTGTTCCCACAGCACGCGTAAGTACTTAAACTTTGACCTCAGGCTTGAGCTATGGACGCCTTGCCTGCTTTTTCTTGGATCCCCCACTGTTTCCATTGCCTCCCCAAACCCTCAGGCTGGGCTGAGGGCTGGGCTACTGACTTCCTTCACCGGCAGGCTCAGATGGGGTTTCATCAAGACCGAACTCTGGGATCTCCTGCGCTTGTTTTGCCCAATCCAACTCAGCTTTTCTGCAGGCCCTGCAGAGTCTTAGTCTGAGCCCTGGTTCATAACCCCAGCCCTTTCTGGGCGTCATATTCTGGTACTACCCTTCTCACGCAGTGCTCCAGTTGCTGTAACGGTTTCATAATTAGCCTCCTTTGCATAAAATAATTGAATATTCAATACCAAACATCCCCAAGCTAATTACTGAAAATGTGGCCAGCTTTCCTGAACCCTGCTAGCCACAGTCCAACACCTCCACAGGGCTGAGTGTTACACAGCTCAGAGCCAAAGGGAAAAGCAGCTCCACGAGGAGCTCACCAACAGGAAATAATCTTGACTCTCTAGAAGCCGTGTTGCTTCTTATTGGAAAGGCTGGGGTCAGCCCCAGAAGCCCTGGTAAAGTCAATCACAAGTTTTGAACTTCAGCAGCCTGTATAGCTTCCTTCCTCCCTCCGCTGAGCTTTGAGACTATCTAAGCCTTTTGCAGCAGCCTAGCCCCACTGATGATCAAGCACGAAAGCTGTAAGAGCCACACATCAGCTACCTCACAACTACTGGAAGCTTCATTTGTAACATCTGGGTAATTCTCCTTTCACTAGCACCACCTTTTCTTTCTGCAGATAAGCCTTCTCTAGTTGTCCCTACTCCTGGAGAACATCAGGGCAGGTAGGATGGCCATTCTGCGTAAGAAAAAATTGCTGTTCTTTGAGGAGTTCAGAAAACCTAGGACTTCCATTTAGCACAAAAGGATAAATTAGGGGAGAAAGGCCCCCACGAGCACCTCTGCACAAGCAGAGAGTAGCACTTAGAAAAGGCAGACCACACAGCACTGAGAGAAACGCAAGATCTAGAAAGCACGTTTCCTTTAGCCCAGACTTAGAACCAGCTTAGAGAACCAAACTCTTTCCCAAGCACCCTTCTTCTAACCTATGTGGAATATGTAAAGCAAGGACATCAGACTTACAGCCAAGTGATTTTCCACTCCAGGCACATGGAACACGATGAAAGTAAATTTGTGGGTGTTTGTGCTTGATTTGACAGAGAAAAAAAAATGAGGGAGAGATTGTGTTTGAGGGAGGGTATCAAAGATCAGAGCCAGATGGTCCTGCACAGAGCCCTGGATTTGCAGGAAATTAAGAAGGTAGAGAAGGTGAGGCAAAGGCTGTGTTTGAAGTGAGAGTCAAGGGGTTCTGAAGCTTACAACCATCCAAGGTGCTCGGGGGGAACTACAGCGCATGCCAAAACCACACCACAGTGGCCCGGGGTGCTTTCATTATACAAAGCCTGGGAGAGCAGAGGCTGTAAATGTAGCTTCAAAAGGAGTTTCATCTTAAAGTCTTAGCTCTCAGGGCCTATTAAGCATTTTTGCTGACTACCACTCCTACTCTTTGCCTCAGAGAAAGCACCCGAAATAACCTTTGCTACAGAGCAAACTACTACAGCTCAACCGGCTGTGTAGGAGACTAGCGGGGAGCTGTGAGAAACAACCAGAAACAGTGTTGGAACAGCATGCTGATGTCTCTATTCAGTCAGCCGGGACAGAAGCAGGAAAATCTCGTCTGGAACCTGAGCGGGAAGACAGAAAACTGTGCTAGAAATAGTGGGTGGATTAGCCACATAGAGATGGCTAAGAGTGAGAGAGGCCAGTAGAGGCAAATACAGATATATGAGAGTATTGGCAATTTTTGCTTTTACCTTACTTAAGGTTCACACTTTTGGGGGAGTCTTCAGACCAGCCTCCAGTTTTGGATCTATGACTACTGCAGTGGTGAGGGAGACTGCAGAGGAAAAGGAAGAAAGCAGACCCTATGCAGAAGTGAAAAGGAAGACAGAGGGACTCTAGGAAAAGATGGAAAGAAGGCATTAATTCCCCTGATTTCTTTGGCTGTGCAACAGGAGTTTAGGATGAGACAGCCAGAAATACTCAAGGTTTTCACCCAAGGAAGCTGCTACTACTAATAGCAGATAATACATACAATGTTCCCTTATTCCCTCACAGTTCACTCATGCAATCACCCAGTTACCCAGTTGGAGGACAACCCCAGCTGTATATTCAGTGAAGGACTGTGCTGACACACCAGCAGCTTCCAAATAGGTGTTCAGAAAGCCCCTCAAAGTAATTTATTTCAACAGATGTACACATAATCCTGCAGTCTCCATCTGTACGTAGCAGCCCCTGCCCTACAGTCACACAACCCACAGCTGATACCAGCATTCACCTGGGGCCTTGCACAGACCGAGCAGACACTTGGTGCCCAGAGTTTATCAGCTTGCAGCAGCACTCCCAGCCTCTAGAATTTATTACTCCCTAGGAAACCTTCACGGTCCTTTCTCAGCACAAGCCTTTCCTCTTTGGTCTGTTTTCTGGTAACTATTTCTCCATCCAAGCCTACAGATACCTACAGGATCAATTCAGTTTCACACACGAGAGGCCTTTATGATAAGTTGAGTCAGTGGCTTTTGGGGCTAATCACTCAGACTTCACACTATAGGTACAAACTTAACGTAAATGTGGCTCCTTCTTACTAACGAGCAGCCACAGCACCTCCTCCTGGAATCCAAAACCATCAAGCTGGATCTGGGCTACGAAAGATGAAGGTTTAGTGTTCACATTTGAATACATAGAACCCATGAGGAGGGGACAGGCCTTCCCACACTCAACCTAGGGAAGAAACATCGATCGACTGGTCTGGATTCATGTTAGGACAGCGTCTGCTTAGCCCCATCCTTTCTTACCTGGGTTAGTTTGGCTGCTTTTTTAGTCGGCATGGTTATTACACCCAGCACCAGGTTAACAAGCCTGCTTCTTGAAGGCAGACTCAAACACTAAGTGGAGGGTAGTTTGGAAGACTGTACTTTTGGAACCCATTTTGCAAAGAGAAGGTCCTACACCTTACATTGGTGGACCTCAATCACCAATTCTCAGTCCTGCTGTTTCTCTCCTTTCTCACAGTCCACATTCCTGAAACTGCAGAGAATTTTATACGAAACGCTCTAAACCTTTATGCCATAACTATGAGATTCACTGCTGAATCCTAAATGATCAAACCGAATCAGGCCTCGGCAACAGCAAGAGGTCAGGCCAGGAGAAGGAGTCTCTTCCATGTTGGACAAACTGCTTGATGAATCCAGGTGTCCAGGGAAGTTCCCCTCCCCAAAACCCTCAAAGGGAGCGAGGCCCACCAGGTACACAAGACCTGTGTGGGGCTCGTGGGGCTCCTGAGCCGCACAGAAGTGGGGCTAGGAGGTTATTTGGAGCGACTATTGCAGATGCACGCTCAGATCTGCTCTGGGGAGTGGATGTTTTTGCAGCACAGTCCCCATCTAGTGTGGAGTCCCCCCGCCAGTACCTTTATTTCCGTAAGCTACAAAAACCGTCTGCGGTCACGACATGGTCCCCGCGGAGGTCCCCCCCACAGGCGGCCCTCGAGTGAGGAGGGACAGCGGCGCCA